TTTAAATTTCCTATATTTAAAAAAAAAAAGAAAAAAAAAAAAAAAAAAAAAAGGAATTTTAATTTTAACAAGATGAGAACACTAAGATAACTACGGTATTTTCAGACAAAAGTAATACAACTATACAGTCAATTTTTTTTTTTCCCTCAGGTAAAATTTGGCAATCTCAAGGGAAAAAAAACAACAGTTCCAGCCTGAGAAATAAGCAACTGTATCTCCCAAAAAGTACACCATGCCTAAACAGGAAGACCATGATTGGAAGAAGATCTATGGATCTATGGATTTATGGACTTCCAAGTCTTTTTTACAATTGCCCAGACTTGAGAGAGCCCAGGAATGTCAGCTATTCCTTGAGACATTCATGCACAAGAGGACATAGTTGAAGGACATCATTCAAAGGAGGCACTGTGCAAAATAACTGGTTTTCCAAATCTACTATAATGCAGAGCAAACAGATCACCTTGACTTTTTCACTTAAGATATAACTTTAAAGTTCCTGACTGCATATATAAAGAACTAACATTTTGAAGCATGCAGCTAGAACAGAATAGCCTTTAATTGCACTACTGCACTACAGACAGTTGGGGAGGATGAATTCTACTATCCCAGTGCATGCCTATTTCAAGATATATTTCAATATATATTTGTACTTGTACAAAATTAAGGAGAGGAGGAGCCCTTTGTGGTTTTCCAGTCTCTGTGAGATTTATTTTTTTTTTCTGTCAACTCATGCTCTGTCAAAAGTGTTAAGGAAATGGAAAACCCCCACATGAGTAACCTGTTTTTATCAGGATAAACATATTCTCTTTCCTCCCTAAAAATTATGAAAAGATACTTCAAGTTATAATGGAAAGAGGATGCACATGTACCTGATGAGAAGAGTAAAACTTCCTTCTATACCATGGTTTATTTGAAGTGGCAGCACAACAGCAGAACTCCATAAACCGGAGCAAGACGTGTACAGACTGCCTTTGTAAAGAAGGGCCTGACCTGCAGTCCTAAGTGATCTGGACACAGTTAGTTAGAATTCTGGCTTTATGTAACACATTTCAGGGGAAACAGCGAGCTATACTCAGGCTGCTTCCTACTGCTGTGTATCCACCTGTGCACTACAGGCTACAGATTTCAAGGATGTTTCTTCACTGAGCAAAACTCAGTGGAGGATTCACAGGATACACATCTTCCAGTACTCAGGTGACAGAACCACTGGATGGTGGAACAACATGATTACTCACATACTGATGCAGACATCACACAACCTGAGCCAGAGAGTTTGTGGCTTTTTTGAAGTATATATTTCTGCTGTAATGTAATGGGTGCTAGTTTTCTTTTTATTTTGTTACCCCTTTATGGAAAGAAACAGTTCTCACTGTAAGAACAGCATGTTCAGATAAGAGTCCTCAAAATCATACAATGATATTACAGTACAGACATAATTAAATATTTTTACCTTAATTTTATGAGCTCAAAAAATAGTTGGGAAAATGTCCAAGTGGTAAAGAAACGTACCCTGATGAAATAAAATTCCCAAAGCCCCTAAGCTCTGTGCAAATTTAGGTCTCACCCTAAAAATTATAACTTTTTAGATCTGAGGTAAAATAAATCTATGTCTAACATAATTTGGAACTGTACCTAAACATTGGATCTGGATATCTTCCAACAGAAATTTTGAGAAAGAAAAAATTTAGCAGATACCAAAAGAGACATGAACCAAATGTTTGCCTTTCTGAATTCCACTATCATTATAAAGCTCTCCCCTGGTGATTCACACCTATGATTCTACATTGCTCATTGTTAGTTGTTTTTCCAGGTTTTATTTATAAGTAGATATTTAAAAATATATAAGACAAATTAAAAATTAATATAGTAAGATGTTAATGAAGATTCTTAGAGATGAAAATTGCATTCCCAAATCAAATGTAATACTCAAACAACTCATCAACTGCAAAAAAAATGCTTCCTTCCTTTTTTTTTAATGAATTAAAGAGACACACTAGGAAGAGAATGGTTAGAACACTTAACACACATGTTCATCAGATTTCCTCTACTTTTTCTTCTTGAAGACTAATTTAAGACTCATTCTAGTCAAATGAGTCATATTATACAAGCTCCATTAACTTAAAATCCTGGAAGACAACAAGGAAGAGGTTTCAAATGACTTTTGGACCACTTAACTGGTGAAACTAAAAAAAAAAAGTCTTTGGAAGAAAAGAATACAAAAGATCTGCTGGTTTAGATGATTGGGAAATTGTTGAAAAAAATTCAATTGAGATGCACATTAGAGAATCAAGGAAGAGTGCATCTGTACATAAAACTCACTCGACTGCTTCCCACTTAATTTTCTCCAGACTCTATTGCAAATGTTTTCTTCCCACCGTCTCCTCCTTTCAGTCAGCAGAAGAACCCAAGATTTACATCATGAACTTTTAAAATACAGGAGAAATTATTTTAGGTTCCTGCTCTGTGACAGACTTACATCTAACATTAGGATTTCCTTTGTGCTCTGGTCCCTCACCTGAATAATAGAGACAACACTGTCAACTATACCTCAGATGTGTGTAAGGAAAATAGATAACTACAGCAGAGTAATGAAGAACTGGCTGATGGAGTATCTAAAACAGATACATCAGAGGTTCCAGCAACAAATACCAGGACAAGCCTACTGAA